TTGCCGGAAGTCCCCACGGAGAATAACTGCGGTAGAACTATTCTTTATACATCCATGGGTACTTCAAAATGAACACATAATGAAATATGACCCCCGGTTTGATGATTGACAGGTCACAGAACAATGGGAGCTATCTACCCTTACCCACAATTTAAAGTAAATCACACAAACTATCTCCTATTCTCGCAGCAAGATGTCAGAACTAAGTGAAAAACAAACAATGGCATAAAATATTATTAATATGTCGGGTAGTAATAGATTTATTTATTTTCTTCTCAGAGTGTACCAGAATGCGTAGTTTATGTTAGTATTTCTAAAAATCTCCTGGGGGAGAATCCCCCCAGACCCCCCTGCTGGGGTTGGGTTTTCAGCATGTGAGCCTTTTTATATAGTTCAGCTTTGATTCCATCATCTCATTAAACCTTTTTTAAAAGCATACTTCTGTGAAGGGATATATGCACTGTACTTCACTTTTATTAATATTGTATTCTGAAAAGCGTATATATTACAGCACGATATTTTGTTGAATAGATTTCAGTGGTTCAAAATGTTGGGTCACGATGTATTGACCAAGTAAAAAGTGGGTCCCGAGGCCTGACCAGTTGAGAACCACTGCCCTAGAGGATGTGACGTCCACCCCCCAATTAAAACATGTTCATACAATAATGAATACATTTGAAACCTTCTTTATATATAACCAACATGTCAATACGTTTCAGTTTTTGTAGTGTATTGGTCTTTTGTAGAGATTTTTCATTGATTCTTTATATATTCTATTGTGTATTGCTTGGAGGGGGGGGGGGCACCAAATCATAATCTCGCCTAGGGCACCAAAATGTCTAGGGCCGGCCCTGAGTGTTAAATACATGTACTTGTGTAAAAAGTACACTATTTGCCTCCAAAATGTAGTGGAGTACAAGTATATGTAGAATAAAATTGCTCCAGTAAGGTGCAGGTAGGCCTATGTGGAAATTGTACTTGAGTAAATGTACTTAGTAACTTTTCACCACTGTTCATTGTATATAGAGATGTATTTCACCCTTCCACTGATTTTCTTCCATAATATAAAAGGGTTTCTGCTTTGGGTCTGATAAAGAAAAGCTTAAACAAAGACTAGCTAAAGGAAATATTTAGTCTGTAGCCTACTCAGCTGTGTTATACCAGACGGCTTTTAATTAGAAGCTTTGTTTGATCTGCTTCCGACTGAGGTGTTAATTTCGACAAACCTAAATGAATGTGAGGCATTCACCTTCAACAGTGGAGGATGTTGATTGAGTCCTGTGATAAACTAATTAGCTATTTCTCTGTTAAGGACAGCAAACACACTTTTGAAAATCAGTCAAATGAAAGTACGTGCATAGAACAATAACATAATAGTATTAACCGACGACCAATGTCATAAATCACGTGTTTTCCCATAAATGCATTCACATTGATTGAATGTATTCATCTTAATGTAAAATACCTGGACCTTAATGTACCGTTATCACTGGGTCATCAGCTCGTGTACCGCGTCCGGACGTGATTGGTCGCTCGGCTCGTGACGTACAGCTCCAGCACACCTGATGCTTATTTGATGTGGAAGGCGGGAGCTGAGGCCGGTTTAAAAGACGCACGGGGAACACTCATTCGTTGCTTGTGACTCCATAACAACCCAGCAGTGTTAAGGTCCAGTGCCATTCCTCTAACCACACCCAGGCCTCCGTTTCTCAGTCCGGTTTTGAGGCTCTGTTCTGCCGCCGTTTACCTCCCAAATCCTCCGAGCAACTCCATCCGTCTGCAGCCATGTTTGAGGTAAGTCAAGCTACTATTGCAATGCTGTCTAGACTTTTGACTTAATTGGCTTAGGTTGGTAGACTTGAGTAACATTTTGAATCAAAATACCTTTATTAGTCCCACAGAGAGGACATTTACATTGTTATCCACATCTGTGCTCCCGGGTGTATCTGTGTATTCTTCTTGTATGTTCCTGCCTGTGTACATGACATAAACTGCTGCTCATAACCAATTGCCCCTTGCGGGATTAATAAAGTTGTTGATTGATTACAGCAAAAGTATAGAGGTTCAAATATTTATTTGTGATTTGAATGTTTATGGCTTTTTATATAAATTGATGTAATAACCATATTCATGCAATGCAGCCTCAATGAAAGTAGATATAAGGTAACAGCTGACGGTATATTGTGTTTTTTCCATTCTGCTGGGCTGGTTAAACTGCGAGGAGCTGTAATCATCACACTATAGAAAGTTTTGACTTTAAAAGCAAGTCCTCTACTAATATTAAAATATGGCTATAAAATGCCAGCAACACGTAAAACAGAAATGAAGAGAAACTCTATATTGGCGAGCTTCAAAGGCAAGCCCAGACGTAACACCAGAGTTGTATCAGAAACATATTTTTATTCTTCACCCCTGCCTAACAGTCTTAATTAGATGCTTTATAGAGTATTGGATGTTGGGCCTCTGAGTCATCTTACCCATTGCATTGTGATATTGTTGGCTCAAACCATGTAGGCTACAGGCCATGGGCACCATTTTGTTTTCAATTGTGAGCTCATTTCCCATGCTGAATATTTAGTGTCTAAAAGAGCAGTAGATTGAGGTTTTTCCTGAACTTGGACCATATGGTCTACAGGAAACTGTCTCTACAACTACATGAAGTTTAAGAAGCCATGGGAACAGATTCCTGTACGTAGACGGAGCAGGTCTTTTTTATACCATGCTAACTCAATCTCCGCTCTTTATCTTTCTTACAGACCAGTAGTGATGCCCTGTTCCTGCCTACCTACCAAGACGAGGAGATGGTGGACAACCTGCTGTCCAGCGAGGATTCTGATGGAGACTCTGGTGTAGTAGGGCTCTCCCTGGCTAAGGCCCTGCTCCCGCTGGTGGACTCCTCCTCCCCGCCCCTCATCCCCTGGGTGTGCTCCACCCGCTTCAAGACGGAGCTCTGCACCAGCTACTCGTCCAACGGCTTCTGCAAGTACGCCGAGCGCTGCCAGTTTGCCCACGGCCTCCACGAGCTCCACGTGCCCTTCCGCCACCCAAAGTACAAGACTGAGTTGTGCCGCAGCTTCCACACCACCAGCCACTGTTACTACGGCAACCGCTGCCTGTTCGTCCACAGCTCCACCGAGCAGCGGCCCTCCCTGCGCCGCCGCAGGAACGTCGCCTGCCGCACCTTCTGCTCCTTTGGTGTCTGTCCCTTTGGAACCCGCTGTAACTTCTTGCATGTAAAGGGTGGAGATGTCTGCAGTGCTCTGGAGTCTCCTTACGTCATGGAGGAGAAGACTCCACCTCCAGCGCCATCTGTATCCAGCCCCCAGCTCCACCCCCAGGCCAAGGAGTGGAAGCCTCGGGGAGCTCTGTGCCACACCTTCAGCTCCTTCGGGTTCTGCCTGTACGGAACGCGCTGCCGCTTCCAGCACGGCCTCCCCAACAAGATCAAGACCCCAGAGCAGACCTTCTTCCCCCAGCTGTCCCCTGGTTTAGACTCCTCCACCTCCTTCTTCCCCTCTTGCTCATCCATTCCTTCCACCTCCTCCTCTCCACCATCAGCCTCCTCTGTCAACACCCCCACTGCAGAGGCCACAGCCCACAACGCCTTCACCTTCTCCAGCCAGCACCTGAGCGACCTGCTGCTGCCGCTGGCCCTCCACCTGCAGCAGCTGGAGAGCAGCAAGGCGCAGGAGATCTGGGAAAACAGGGCGCTCTGACAGGAAGTGGTCGTAGTTAGAATCCAGCATCAGCACTGAACAACACAGCTCCATTAAAACCTGTCTTATGGAAACATTTTTTTTTAAATCCTCCCCTTTCCATAGGGAATTTATTATATTTTTTAATTAAGGTTGTTTGACTTGAGAGCTTGTGTCAGCAGTTTAGATGGGACATGAACTTTTCAATTTCAGATCAAGTAGTCTGTGGAAAATCTAAAGTTGATGCTATGAATGTATATTTTTTTTAAACTATTGTAAATACTTTATTAATGAACTGAGTAAATGAGATGTCTGAGCTCAGAATCATGAATAAACTCATTTTAATCTAACCTTCATGTTGTGGTTTTCTCTATGGTTTCCAGATTTTAAACCTTTTCACATGCAAATGTAACTGAATGCAGCTGTATTTTTTTTTTATGAGAACTTTGAGTGTGACAATGGCCTGCACATCCCTAGGTGTATAGGACATTACAAAAAAATGGTCAAGCTGTTTTACATGTTAAAAGAAATATGCTCATAGCATGGGTGTCACAATAAGGGGTTATTTTGCACCTGAAATGTAGGCATGCAAGTCTGAGCACAATTACAATTCTACTCTTAGGATTCTTGTGGACAAACAAATTGCATGGTTGCTCCTGCCTTTCATCACACACTGTACATCCCTGGATCCAGGTTCCAACATCAAGAGGAAAGCCTGGGACCAGAACAGCAAGACAGAAGCCCAGCTTTTAACATTAGATGCCAGATTCATACAGTTAAAATGTGAGTCTTACTGGCGCTATATATATATATATATATATATATATATATATATATATATATATATATATTTTTTTTTAATCGTGTTCTCAGTTGACCCATGTGAGCCCTCAATTCAACAGGACCAGCTGCCTGTCTAACTGCTTTTCAATTAACCAATCTGCAGCTCGGTGCTTTTCAATTCACCAATCACAAGCCTTTAACTCCAAGCGCGTCACTAGTATACGGAAGATGTCAACATGCACCCAAGCAGAGTCAAGCTGGAGTCAAGTTGCCTATATTAAACCGGATGTTGCACTTAGGTCAAATGTATTCAGTTAATTCAAGAACGTTTGAAATGCATTACCTAAACGTTGACGCTGTACACCCTCATCTGTAGTAGATTTTATGTGACCCCTAATGCGTCACACTCATAGGGTCACACTATTCAGAAACAGACGGAATGGGCCCCCCAGGGTTGTCTTATTTTGAAGGGTCTGACGGATGTACATCTTTCTTGCTTTCTAACTTTACACTGTTAATGGAGCGGCTAATGTTTACAGTCTGAGGTGTATAGCTACGCTGATGTAAAACGTTCCCTCTTAAGATACTCAGCCGTTCTAGATAAGAAGGTAAAGTATTGTTAAAATACCAACGATTTTGCATGGCGTTTTCTTTATCCGTAGACAGCTAACTTTAGTTATTAGCATCTCGAATGATTGTAGCTAGCTACAGCCGGTACTGTTATGGCTCCGGCTAGTAACGTGATTGTTGCCTCACTGTATTTTACTCTGATATAACCCAAATGATGCAGTTACAGACACACCGGACTAGTGTAGTTGTATCGGTGTCACTTTGACTAATGTTCAGTCACATCAAATAGTTTGTTCCAGCTGATAGACGGCACCCTGACTTCATGTTGTGAGCATGATGTGAAGAGACCCCAACACTTGTGCCAATTACAATTAAAACATTTGGTGATTTTCAATGTTTGAACTAATATCATTAATACATGAAGGGTAATCACCTGCAACAAATCTGATATGTGCTTTAGTAAATTCGGGATATAGCTTATTCACAAATAACGACTCAATATTCATAATCTAAATCTAAACTTTTTAACACTAGTTGTAGAAGTGCTTTGTACGGAGGCCCGGAGGTTCCAAAAAGACCTGTCGCTCTCCGCTTTTTGTTCGTGTCCAAGGAGATGTAGAGGGCTTGTAAACGGCCAAAGGTAGCTCTTAACGTTAACGTAGGTGCTGTTTCCTTTCAGTTTCTGAGTGGTCGCCGTGAGCATGGCGGACCGGGAGGAGCGACGCTTCGCGGAGGTTTCCCGGGACTCCGTCAAACTCATGGCCGAGAGTTCAGGCGTGGAGCTCGGCGACGATGTGGCCACACTGCTGGCGGAGGATGTGTGTTACCGGCTGAGGGAGGCGACTCAGGTCGGTGCAGCCCGGGTGCATGGACAGATCACTGCAAACATGTGATACCCTACACTAAATGTATCTTTACAGGCTATTATTGTAACCAGCCTCATCAGCTGTTTATGAAGTATTGACGTATTGACACATATGAACAAATATGTGGGAGAGGTGGGAGAAGTACTTAGATTTTATACTTGAGTAAAAGTAGAAGTACCAGAGTGTAGGAATACTTGTGTAGTTACAAGTAAAAGTCCTGCATTCAAATGTTCCTCAAGTAAAAGTAAAACAAGTATTGACATCGAAATAAAGTTATAGTACCAAAAGTAAAAGTAGTCATTGTGCAGATTGGTCCATTTCAGAATAATATATATGATATGTTTTATAATGATTGATCATGAAAGTGTTCTCAAAGCTGGTAAAGGTGCAGCTAGTTTGAATGACTTTGTATACTGCAGGGTAGCTTGTGAATTTACTCCAGGTGGAACTAAAGTCTGATTTAACACTTGATTATATTTCACATCATTCATCCACATCTGTAAAGTAACTAAAGGTATTACATAATTGTGGTTAAAAGTAAGTAAAAGTACATGATTTACCTTTGATTTGTAATGGAGTACAACGTAGCAAAAAAAGTACAGTACTTGAGTAAATCTATTTAGTTACTTTACACCACTGCTTGACTCAAAATTAGTCTTTTGAGTAAGAAGCAATCATCACATTTATGCATAAAAGGCTATTCTTGTTTCATACTCTGGAGGTGAATTTTGGGTGGATTATCACGTACGTGGAAGGAAGTATACACACACATATTGACGAATACAGTATGTATCACATCATTGTCTAATATGCAGTGTATGTGTTTTGTGGCCCACACAGAGCAGCTCTCAGTTTATGAGACATGCCAAGAGGAGGAAGCTGACGGTGGAGGACTTCAACAGAGCTCTGCGCTGGAGCAACGTGGAGGTGAGGATGTTGTTCACACCATCAATGGTCTGTTTCCAATAATGTCTCCAGGGTCAGTTTTACACGAGTCTCTGTGTGTTCATCAGGCTATATGTGGCTACGGCGCCCAGGATGCTCTTCCTTTCCGCTCAGCTAAAGAAGGAGAGCTTTTCTTCATCGAGGACCGGGACATCAACCTGGTGGAGCTGGCTCTGGCCACCAACATTCCCAAAGGCTGTGCGGAGACCCTGGTGCGAGGTAAGACCCACCGCCGCCATATTGACAGAACAGATGCTTCTTTCATGCTAACATTTTGATCTGGAGGAATCTGTTACTGATCATTTCTCCTGTTTTCTTCTTCTGACAGTAAATGTGTCTTACCTGGATGGGAAAGGAAACCTGGAGCCTCAGGGGACAGGTAAGACTGAGACCCTTTATTATTAATATGCTTCACACGGTAGGGGATGTTGCCTCTCCTCTCAACACTATAATGACTGTTGGCAGGTGAAAATCACTGATTTTGTAGTAACACCAGGTTTCAATCTGAAAATTACACTCTTGTGCCCGATCACGTAAAACAACTGCAACTCAGATGATATAGGATATTGCGCTCATGCAATAAAACAAACACTCACCATTACAGAATAATCATGAATATCCCAGAAGAAGTGACCTAGCTCGCCATCATGTTGGAGAAGTAAAACAAAGAGCCTGATTTATAAAAATACAGAGATTAATACGTAAAAGAGAACAGACTTGTATAATGTGTATGACCTTTTTAAGGAAAATCAATTCCAGTGTTTTCAGATCCATTTGAGTTTCAAGTCATTTCGGAGGATTATGTGGATAATCTAGTGAATCGCAGGACAGGATAATCATGATATGAATTTTTCACATTGTCCCATTCCAAAACACAGCGCTAGGTAGTGATATAGAACCCTTTTTTAAGGTTGTTTCCCTGGCGTTGATCAGTGAATTTAATGTAAATATATTGACAAACCAGTGACATAACGCAAAGAAAGAGCTGAGTCACTGGCAGGCTGTCTGCAACACATAACATGGAGGGAGGGGTTACATTTCAAGCCTTTTGTAGTTATTTTTGATACGTGTATTTCACTCTACACCAGTTAATTGAGGGTTTTATTGTGCATCAGTTGTTTGACCTCACTGTTGAATTGTCCCAGTTCCCTCAGCGGTGCAGACTCTATCAGAGGACCTGTTGAAGTACTACCAGCAGATCACACGGGCCATCCTGGGGGAGGACCCCCACCTCATGAAGGTAAAGCTCTGCTGAACACTGATGTAGGGTTGAGCTCAGGGGGGTCAAACGGTCGTGGGCCAAAACCAGGCCTCCAGAGGGTCCAATCCGGTCCGCATTATGACTTTCCAAAGGGTGGAAATTAGAAAGAAGACATTAACTGCAATTTTCACAACTTTATTGTATTTTGTCACAGGCAGGGGAGAACTGAACCTTCTTCCTTAATAGTTCCCACTTTAGTCTGTATGGTTGTGTGTCAGGATTACTACACAGATGTGGAAATGAATGTCAAATCATTTCTAGATCTTGACAAGTACTTTTGATCATAAAGTAAATTACTATATTGATCAGTTCCAGATACCGGTGACTACATGTTTCTTTAGAGACACTGTGTAAGTTGTAATGCACATGTGTAAATGATCAATTGAAGCAGATAATTGTAGAATTGCACTTATTTTTCTTAATGTTTTGTAAAAATATAGTTCATTAAATGTGAACATTTTTACAATGTACTTTTTGCACTAAAACAAAGGAAAGGAGTTGTTGTTATTTATAGGTTATTATGCTGTGATCTTTTTACTGGTCCGGCCCACTTGAGATCAAACATGGCTGTATGTGGCCCCTGAACTAAACTGAGTTTGAGGCCCCTGGTCCAGCTAAACAACGTGTCACAGCAAACATCTCTCCTGTGTTTCAGGTGGCTCTGCTGGACCTCCAGTCCAACTCCAAGATCGCCGCCCTCCTGCCATACTTTGTTTACGTCATCAGTGGGGTAGGTCCATCCCATCATCTCCTAGGTGATCTCACCTTTATCTGGTTGTTGACTGTGTGTGTGTGTGTGTGTGTGTGTGTGTGTCTGTGTGTGTGTGTGTGTGTCCAGGTGAAGTCGGTGAGCCACGACCTGGAGCAGCTGAACCGGCTCCTCCACATGGTGAAGAGCCTGGTCCAGAACCCCAACCTGTACCTGGGCTCGTACGTGCGCAGCCTGGTGTCCAGCGTCATGTACTGCATCCTGGAGCCCCTCGCCGCCTCCATCAACCCGCTCAATGACCACTGGACCCTCCGGGACTACGCCGCGCTGCTGCTCAGCCACATCTTCTGGTGAGGGGTCCACCAGGCTGCTGTTCAACATTCAAAGGGCTTTATTTTCATATGCACAGTAGCTACAGGGGAGATATGGCAATGGAAACCTGAAGTCCCAGGCTCCGCAAAAATATCAATAAAATACTGTTTATTTATTGTTTACTGTTTACTTAGACACAGAGGTTGAAAAGACCACATAAATAACATGCATATAAAATCAGGGGTTAGTACAAAACTCAAAAATAATTACCATAATCATTAGTATTACAGATCACATACTTTACAACACACAGCATGCAGTTTACCATTTATTTTAGCTTTTTAGTACATTTTTATGGAGATCTTTTACTATTTTGTTCCCACAAATTATTCAGCACCTCATGGAATCATTTGTAATTGAATAGCTGCACTTCTTTTGGGCCACCTGCACAGATGAGCAAGCTCCAAAAACAAATAAATGACATTTTTACTATCTAAAGTTGTAACGGCGAACCTGTTACCAAACTGTGGCCACATTCAGAGCTGAGTACATCCAACATGTAATACAGTCCATATGACTTATTACTGTCTTTTTTAAGTCATAAGTTACATTACAATATTACTGTCTCTGAAATGTAATGAGTTAACCTTCTTTTATATTACTTTTGAGTTACTTTACCAAAATAACCTCAAAAGAATGGCTAGGTCTGTAGTTTAGTGCAGCTCATTATACATCCAGTGAAGGGCGATGTGGTATAGCATAACAACTGTGTAGGCCATTAAGGCTATAACAACTTTTATTACACGGCTTAGTTGAACACTGGATTCTGATTGTAAATTCTTAACATGTGACACGTTGTTAATACAGTAGTACAGACCGCTGTCAAGGACTGTAATGAAGGTTGCTAAGGAGGATCAAGAAAGAGAAAGGAAAGAGGTTAAAAGACGGAGCGCTGGACGTCAGATAAATCACCAGAAGAAGGCAGAGAGGAAGTAAACAATAACAGGAACACGGAATGGGCTCTGTAGTTTGTTTAGTATATGGCTGTGTAATAAGTGGGATAGTGTGCAGCGAGGCGGTCCTTATGGGGAAAAGAACACCCGACAGGCTGATCAGGGAACCCGATCTTGATGAGCCTGAAGGGTAAACACCAGGCTTACTAATCTACCCACACAATTTTTCTCTGGTGTCGAATTGTCTCGCTATGTTTGTAAATTCTTAAAAAACAAAACACCATTTAATTTCGGGTTAAAATGTGTTGTAACTGCGTTACTGAGAATTGTAACGGGTAGTATATTACCCAAATGTCATTAGTAATGCGTTACATTACTTCGTTACAGCAAAAAGTAATACATTACTGTACCTCCGTTACTTTTGTAACGCGTTACAGCCAACACTGGTGTCAGCCAGTCTGGTGAACGGCCAATCAAAGTCCTTTCTCTGTTAATGTGTTTCCCTCAGGACTCACGGTGACCTGGTGAGCGGTCTGTACCATCAGATCCTCCTGTCCCTGCAGAAGGTTCTGTCGGACCCGGTGCGGCCCCTCTGCTCCCACTACGGGGCCGTGGTGGGGCTCCACGCTCTGGGCTGGAAGGTACGCTCCCTGCTGCCCTCTGGGAACATCAGTCATCTGGTTGTTCTTCATTTACCTGAAGTACTCTGTGTGTCTCCTGGCAGGCTGTAGAGAGGGTGCTGTTCCCTCACCTCCCTGCGTACTGGGCCAACCTGCAGGCGGTGCTGGACGATTACTCTGTGTCCAACGCACAGGTCAAAGCCGACGGACACAAGGTGTACGGAGCCATCCTGGTCAGTACTGCAGGGGTCCAGCCCGGCTGGTTGGTTTATCGTCCAATTCCTACATATGATATCATTTGCACCTTGTGTGCAAAGTTTGACCTGCCCTCTAAGTATTTGTGCAATCATTTTGGGTTAGGCTTTTTTAGGGTTAGGGTTTAAGACCTGGAAACTGTTAGTATTTTGTGCTAAACATCACATTAAAAGTTTAACACAGATCATTGGGAGAACTGAAAAAGAACCTTAATTTGAAATGACATTTTTTGCTCTTTCTTACTGTTAATTGGATGGACCCTTCTCCGGACGGAGATATTATTGTTATTATGGATATCATTATTTTTCACTTTGACACTTTGAGTCATTGGCACAATCCAAACAACTTAATTTTGTATTTAAATTGACTACAGTCATTTTTCATGATGACACCTTACACATAATACCAAAGGGAGGAATAATGAATGATTTGGAACAGAAATAGAAATGCCTATGGTGGCAGTATAAAGGTCCTTGGGCCATCACACGCTATATCCCTGCTGGGAGTTCTGTACTGTATGTACATGTGACATTTTGTACTCGTACTACTCCTAGAGAAATGCTTGAAGTAATGTTTTTCACACCATTGATATTTAAATGTCACAGTCTATAGCAATGTAGCATTACACTGACGCACATCCCTGAAGAGTTCCCTGTGTGTCCTGCAGGTGGCGGTGGAGCGGCTGCTGAAGATGAAGGCTCTGTCTCTGAGTCAGCCTGCAGAGGGGGGGTCCGGGGGTCCGCAGGTCTCCGTGGGGGGTGCCATGGGGTACAGGGTGAGCTCCCCTGGCCTCAGCCCCCCCCCAGAGCCTCTGTCAGACGCCGCCCTGGGCATCGCCAGCCACCTGCAGGCGGGGGGGGCCGGCTGCCCCTGGGAGGAGTGGACCCCCGTCCCCCTGCCCGCCATGTACTCCGAGCTGTACTCCTTCTTCGGGGACAGCCTGGCGGTCCGGTTCAGCACGGGGCCCGGGTGGGGCAGCCCCCCCTGCACCCTGTCCCAGCACAGTGACACCAAGAAGGAGCCTGCTGGCCCCGCCTCCAACCCAGACACCACCCGAAAGATGCCCCAGCTGACGGCCAACCTCAACATCAGCCCCAGGCAGGACGGGAGCCCTCGCACCGACCCCCCCCCACCCAGCCTGGCAGCCACCGGACCAGGAAGGTGAGAAAAGGAATGAAAGGGGCCCTGTTATGTTTTTTGGTTCTCCCTCTCCTGTAGTGTGCTCTATAGGTTAGTGCATGTCAATGGTCTGCAGAGGCTGAACTCCCTGAGTTCCTCTCCCTCTTCTATTCTATTAGTAGTTGAATGAATGTGTAAAACTGAATTTGTGCTCATTTAAAGTTGTTCTGATAAAGGGATGAAAGACCTTTTTTATTATAAAGATGTATCGGTGTCCTTGACATAAAAGAGGAATAAATCACAACAGAAAGAACCATCAGAATTCGTACGTCCCTAGTTTTCATGACTGAATGATGCTAACTCTCTTCTCTCTCCTCAGGTCCCTGGCTCGCTCCTCTTCCTCCTCCTCTTCCTCCTCGGTGCAGCGCTCCAGATCGTCCTCGTCCCGCCCTGGCCAGCGCTCAGCCGGTCTGTCCCGAGACGTTTTCCCCAAAGCTCGCTTCACCCCCCCCCCCACAGGACTGCCGGTGTTCACCTTCCTGATTGGCGGGCGGCAGATGGGCCGGCGCTGCCAGGGCCGCCGCCCCTTCCAGACCAACTTCGCCCCGCCCCCGCCTCTTCCTGCCGTCCCGCCACGTGCCTACGCCCACAAACTGCCCGTCATCGGCCGGGTGGGCAAACCTGTCCGCCGGGGGGCCGGCTCCCATTACTCCCTTCACCTGCCTCTCTAGAGGGGGGGGGGGGGGGGCAGAGATCACTACTGACTTCAACACGCCTAGAATCACTTTCTTTTTTTGAAAGGATTCTGTTTTCTCATCAAGATGGAGAACAATGTTTGGCCAGTAGGGTCTCTCTACCAACGCATCCCACCTGACACTGCAGACATTCTCACCAAAAATATGAAGCACTTGCAGATTGAGGAGGATGTGATGATCTGTGCTAATCAGATTAGTGCAAATAGGATTTAAGTATAAAAACGTTATTGTTTATGTCCCACTAACAGGTGGTCCACATTGGTCGGTTTTTAGTTCCCCACCTTTTTTGACCTCAAATTGGTGTATTTCTGAATGAGCGGTTAGAAATGATATTATAATATTATTTTGGGAAAAAGAAAATTGGGAACACATGATCAATATATATATTGTCACTTTTTCAGTTGATATTTGAAACTGTAACTAACAGTTATTCTCATTTTTTGATGTGATTTTTGTAATTTTCCAACCAAAAGTGAAAAGGTGCAAAGTATGTTTAAATAACAATGTTATAAAAGAAGTGGAGCAAAGAGAAGCTGGATCCAGAGATGTTTTGCTGTGTTTAACTAACTCATTCGGAAAAAACGTTTTTGTTTGTTTGTATTGGTTAATGAGTTAGTCTTCATGTTGTTTGAGCACTAAATCTCATGAACCGTTGTACTATCTTTTGTGAACGTCCCCTTCTGCAGCGCCACTAGACGTTATGTGCTGAAGCTGGAGCTCAGACCCGAGTCATGAATCCCACAAAGGACAGAGAACAAGCGAGAAAAACATGGAGCCATAGTAAGAGTGCCAATTTCTCCCAGAAGCCCTGAAACCTGAAAACATGTATTTATACAGAGCTGTAGTTTTCACAGAATAAACCTTTCTCTTTTGTAAACCTTTCTCTTATTCCTTTGAGTCCAATATGCCTTGTCTGTATACAAACAATTAGTCTGTCTCTGTGCAGTGGTGTAAAGTAACTAAGTACATTTACTCACGTACACTATTGAGACACTTGTACTTTTTCAGACTTTTACATTTTTTTGTTCATTTGTACTTCTACTCCACTACAGTTCAGAGGTAAATGGTGTACTTCTACTCCACTACAGTTCAGAGGTAAATGGTGTACTTTTCCTCCACTACAGTTCAGAGGTAAATGGTGTACTTCTACTCCACTACAGTTCAGAGGTAAATGGTGTACTTCTACTCCACTACAGTTCAGAGGTAAATGGTGTACTTCTACTCCACTACAGTTCAGAGGTAAATGGTGTACTTCTATTCCACTACATGTATTTAATCCCTTTAGTTACTTTACAGATGTGGATGAATGATGTGAAATATAATCAAGTGTTAAATCAGACTTTAGTTCCACCTGGAGTAAATTCACAAGCTACCCTGCAGTATACAAAGTCATTCAAACTAGCTGCACCTTTACCAGCTTTGAGAACACTTTCATGATCAATCATTATAAAACATATCATATATATTATTCTGAGATGGAGCAATCTGCACAATGACTACTTTCACTTGTGGTACTTTAAGGATATTTCGATGCTGATACTTTTACTTGAGTAACATTCTGAATGCAGGACCTCTTCTTGTAACGGAGTATTCCTACACTCTGGTACTTCTCCACCTGTCTCTGTGACCGGCTCTCCCTCTCTAAATATTTAAACCGGCTCTCAGTGTCTGGTTTCAGGTCGTAGTCAGAGCCCGTGATGGCCCGGCTCCTCTCCTCTCTGGCCTTGTTCTGCCGGGTCCAGGCCTTCCCCTGCCTGCTGCTCTGCTACCTGCTCTTCATCCTGCTGGGGGGTCTGGTGTTCTGGGCGGTGGAGGGGCCGGTGGAGCAGCAGCTGAGGGTGGAGGTGGAGGAGCTGCGGCGCTCCTTCTTGCAGGAGAACCCCTGTGTGCGGGGGGGCCGTCTGGTGGAGCTGCTGGACAAAGCTCTCTCGGCTCACCAGAGGGATGTAGCCGTCCTGAAGGCAGACGCTGGGGACAGAGGATATGATTTCACTTCTTCACTTTACTTTGTCATCGTCACCCTGACAACCATGGGTAAGATCCAACCTGTAGGAATTGAAAATAGAACCGCAACCTGCTCATATTTTCATATATATCCAAATGTCTAACCCTTCACACAGATTGAAGTCAGTGCATCCCGGGATCCAGCTGATCTTTTGGAATATGTGCTGGTTGCTTTTTGCTTTTCATGCTATAATTGCAGTTGTACACTTGATGGGGTCCATGTGTCCCCAGAGACATGATCATGACTTTTTTATTACCAGCTAGCTTTAACATTCAAAATATAAAACTCTGTCAAACTGTTTGACATGCATTTACAGGGCACCATTTCTGAACCTTAATGAATATTTGCTACTTGTGATTATCACTGAAGTTGCATCAAAACTCAAAGTTGGCTCAGTGAAAGAAGGAGAGTTTATTTTGATAAGGTAAATAATATGAATGTATCATTTCTAGTGCGGAATTTGTTGTCCTCCGCTGAGTATGTACTGCTTATCTCAGTCTTCTTTAATGGTAAATGTAATCTTTACAACTTGGACTGTTGTTTTTTTATGAATTTGGGTAATGGGCCATTTTGATGGACATTTCTTGACCTTTTTGTGACATTTTTAATACACAAATAATGTATTAATTGCAAAGCTTGAGGTTTCACCCTAACCCTTAGATGGGCATTCAATATTTTGGAAATGTAATTCATTGCTATTTTCTACATTAAACCCATATCACACTCTTATCACACATTAATACACCTGTTTCAATGTTATCACACCCGTATTACAACCATAATACTCTGTTATCACACCCATATGTTACCCATATTACACCCATGGAACAGCAATTATTTATTGCACCCTGTTACGCACATATTACACATTAATACACTAATGGAACACCATTATCACACCTTTATAACACTGTTATCCATTTTACACATGTTCCCCCAGGACACAGAATATCTAAGGGTTAAATGTTCCTTCTATTTGCTGAACTCCTCACCTTCATCCCTGCAGTCCTCTCCCTCTCTTCCTCTCAGGTTCCGACTCCTACACCCCCACCTCTGATGAAGCCAAGCTCTTCTGTATCTTCTACTGCACCCTGGGGATCCCCCTCACCCTGCTCCTCCTCACCCTCCTCTCCCACCTGCTCCTCCCTGTGGTCACCCACGCTCCTGTGCACCTCCTTCAGAGGGTCTGGGGTCTGTCCTCCAGCCGGGCCGCGGGGGTCCACGCCGGGCTGCTCTCTGTGGGGGTCCTCTGCCTGCTCTTCCCCCTCCCCGCCCTGCTGGTCTGCATGGTGGAGCCCGCCTGGAGCTTCCTGGATGCTCTCTTCTTCTGCTTCCTCATCCTGAGCACTGTGGGCCAGGGGGGGGACTCTCTGGGGAGGGGCTGGGGCCCGACGGCCAAGGAGACCCTCCAACTCCTCACCACATGTGAGTGCATGTGATCAAATGTCCTTTATAAATGCTTATTTAGCCATTGTGGATGATTGCTCGCTTACTGTCACATGGGTGTGGTTTAAGGTCTTCAGTCCACCTGTAGGGTGCCGGGCTTGTGTGATGGACAAAGAGGGTGATTTGGTTCCAATATGTTTTGTTGACCGTACAGTCATGCTGTAAAGATTTGTTTGGTTTTCTTGGATCGCACAAAAAAACACTGAAAATCAGAAAGTGGAATGGATTACATGACACCTTCTTTCAGGCCTGCAGAGACCTCCAGTCCATATTCCCCCAAAATACTTGTTCCACTCTTCACCAATGGATTTTATATTGTAACCCTAAAATACATGTAGGTTTGCTCTACATGTATTTTATAGTACAAATTCATTATAAATATGGCTATTTTCTGATTAAAACTGTCATTTCTGATCCTTTAAATATCAGACATGGATTCAGCATCCTCAACAACTAATGCTAACTGTGCAAACTGCCCAACATATGTGGTTAGCATCCAGCAGTTTCTGTGCTGGGGACCCTACTATACATTTCTAACATAAAACTCTGGGGTACTCAACATTTCTGGGTTCACAATCTGGCAATTAGGCTATTAATAAGAAGTATTTTATGATCCCCTCTTGAAGGAAATGTATTTTTCCCCACTCTGTTGTCATTGTCACACATTTAATACATGCACATGCGTTTCTGGTTGAGAGACACCAGAGTAATGGGTTGTCATTGTAAAATGCTGAATGTGTTCTGGTCTGTCCACAGGCTACCTGCTGGGGGGCCTGGTGGTGATCATTACTCTGAAGGACACGCTCCTGCAGGTTCCCCGGGTCTCGGCGGTGATTAGGCTCTTCTCTGGGCCCCAGTATGCAGAGCTGGAAGGATTCCATCTCAGTGAGCTGACCCTGAGCGAGGAGCTCTGTGAGGAGGAGGCTCAGTACTCCCAGTCCATCTGCACCGTCTCCTCCACCCCTCTGGAGCTGATGAGCCCGCCTGCTGTCACACAGAAAGAGCCCTGAGACCACCTGACCTCCACAGCTGGACACTCAAATTGAACATTAACATATAATAACCTCAAAAAGTGAACATGCTGAATGTTTTATCAAACATTTACACATACAGATGACACACAGCACATGGTCATTCATTTGTACTGGGTTCTGTGTCCATACAAGCCAAATCAAACTTTATTTATACAGCACTTTTCATACACAAAGTGCTTCACAAACCAAACTCATAGACAATTTACAAAAAATACAAACCATACTATCTCCCCCTTCCCAGGTTATAACCAGAGTATCACATAGCTTTGTGAGGAAAAAGAACACTTCATACCAACACAGGACTGAATAACATAGGAATAGAACAAATAAAGAATAATAAAAAGAATAAAATGCAATTCAGTTAAGCTAAATTAAAAAGGTGGGTCTTGAGTTTGTCAAATATGTATTCCCTTTTAGCTCTTGGTTGGGTCTCGTGCAAATGATCCACTATGTGTGTTGGTCTGTTATCAGCGTGTGTGTCTGCAGTTGGGTGACCAGGTATTGTACTTTGGCCTCAAAACAGCTGCCTGACTACTAGAAACCAGCTATTAGGTACAACAACTAAAACACTGAGCTAAAAGAAGCTAAAAGAGTTGTTCCTAGGAACAATATATATATATATATATAAAATGTAAAAGTTGTTCAGCTTTAATTTGATGTGTTTCCATTGATGAACTCTTCCCAGGATACAGTAACATTACATCATTGCATCATGACATGTCTGCTCAATAGTCTCTATTGCTTCGTTTTAATAACAAAATACATTTATTAGTTGATCAAGGAAACAATATGCAGATTCATCAATAATAAAAAATAACAATTAGTTGCAGCTCTACTTAGATTGTATATCTATAAATCTGAAATAACAGTTCTTACAAAGACCCCACCTAAATCTGTTTTGTCACTAAGTTTGACCCTAGTTTGTTTTTCTGTACTTTTAGAGAGAGCGTGGCCTTTTGCTTGCTTTTATTTTCACAATATATTTATTGGCATTTTCTTATATTGGTACAACAATCAAAAAAACAAACCTGTACTTAAGAACAACTCATTCTAGTAGTACTAGCTACACCTGACAAAAATAAGCTACAGTATATTTGCATTTTCAAAACATTCTGAACCTGGATTCCCTATAAATCTTGGTACTCGACTTACAGACGAGGGTAGGTCAAGGGGAAGTCGTACAAATGTGTTTAATATTTCTTTTATAATATGTTGTCTAAAGGATTTAGCAGTTTTTATTAAAAAAAAGGGTTCAAGGAAATCATGATTAACCTTGGGGAGATTATTTTCTATATATATATATTTTGTGCGCTCACCCCTTCAATCATTTGACTACAGTCCCTTACATTAGGGGAAGCTACTTTAAATAAAAGAAATAGCAAAAATAGAATAAACAGCAGCATCTCTTGTGTGTCTGTTACTCTGGATAATAATTCTGATGTTATATATTTTTCTGTCATTGCAAAGGACTTCCAAAATGTTTAAATAAAGTTGCAGAAATGAGAAGGTGGCAGGTACAGGACCGACCACAAGGTGTCAGAAGTAGCTCATGTACAGGTGAAGGTCTCTGGAAAGACTCTATTTGATCATGTTTGTGCCTCTCAGCTACTTTGCTAATAACATGTTTAAACAGTTCAAAGCCACTGAGTGACTCATCGGCCTCAGTGTGGTTTGTAAAGATAAGAAGGGTGTGGAAGATCCCAGAACAAACTGAGCCTCACACACTGATGCAGCCACCTTGTCATCTTACTCATCCATTTGTTGTTGTTTACTTTTAGTAGTTATACTTTGATTATATGACTGTGTTCTTCTGTTATACAAGACTTGTTTCACGTTTAGAACCAGAAGTCTTAAGAATTATTCATATATTATTGTATTTCCATAGTATTAATTGCTGGATCCTCTACTTCCCATGATGCAACTCAATGACGTGACATAAACCAGGCAAGAAACACACGCAGTCCGACAATCTTACCAAACAAACCCCCATGTTAGAAGAGAAATGGAAGGTAAAATGATCATCATGACCATCATACTTTCCCTGATTGATAATTGGCAACATTTCGTTGTTCTTTTTTGTTTGTCCTCCAAATAAAGTGGATTATACAGCCTGTTGATGTCAAATGTCTAAGAGCTTAGGTCACATGAACATTAGTCTCAATGTATTAGTTTGTAGAGATCTCAGCACTAAACAATTTCCCAATTTTCAATAAAGTACATTTAATCTAATCAAAATACTTTTGTGGTGTTATATATAATTAAATATTAATAATAATTAAACATAATTATTCTCTAATTTAGCATTGCACTAAAGAATAACGAGAGATGTCATATTCTTTGATCCACACATTCTTCTTCCTTGTTGCCTGGCACCTACATTACCCAAGTTTGCAAATCAAATGTTGAGAGTGAATTTAGTTTGTAATGTGGGTAGATGCTATTGCAGCCTGCAGCAGATGCTCACGCTCACTTTGTTCAAACACTTCACCTCCAAATGATGTTCATTTTCAAACTTGGGGTTTCCCTCAGTAGGGAATAGAGTCTTTATACAACTCTTTTCCAGTGGTAAAAAGTAGCTAAGTACAATTACTCAAGTACTGTACTAAGTACATTTTTTAGGTATTTGTACTTTAATTAAGTTTTTCAATTTGAAAGTATCATACTTCTAATCCACTATAGTTTGGAAGAAAATATTGTACTTTGCACTCATTACATTTATTTGACAAGATTAGTTAATAATTACTTTAAAGTTAATATCATTAATATTAAATACATGTAATTATTATTATTATAGTATAGATTAAGATACATGGCAGTATCAAACATAAATTAAAGTTATCTCCATATATACTAGCTGCAAAATAAAAATGATGTTCACATTAACAAATCATTCATTATAATAAATCCAGTGATATAATAAATAATATTCAGAAAATTGCTATTTGAGTACTTTTATGGCGCATTTCCACTGCAGGGCCTCGCACGGCTTAGTACGGTATAGTTAGGCCTTGGTAGGCCAGGCTCACTTTATGCTGCGTTTCCATTACAGTTTAGGAACTGGGGTAGTAACTATAGTAACGCAGTGTAGGCGGAGCCGTGGCGTCATCTTCAATGAGAAACACAAAACCAACATCAGCCGTTAGCTGTTAGCACTCAGAGCTCACAGCTCCTCATATCTGTTCAGAAACTCGACAAAAGTTAAACAAGTACAAACCACAGACTGCCTGTGTCATGGTGAATACAGTCGCTGGTTTATTTATGTCTGTAGGCCGTTGTTGTGAGTGTGGACGGTCGGAGCATATACTGCGTTAGCTTAGCCAATCTCCATTTAGAAAACACGCATTTTAAAAGGACTTGTCAAATCATTAATTCATGGTTTTTACAAACCGGTATCAGTATGTTGTTACTTCGGCATCATTTTGAAACGTGTATTACAATTAAATCACGGTAAAATATGTTCATTTTGTTGTAGTTGCCAGTGATTCTCTCACTAGTTTAGCATACTCAGCCCGGTTGTTGGCCCGGAAAGAACCTCGATTTTGGAGAGCCAGAAAACTGTGAAAAAGTACCCGCTAGCCAGAACTACGCCTAGTGGAAATGCAACCAAAAACGGGCCGGGCACGGCACGCTTAAACCGCGCTCCGCGCTGTAGTGGAAATGCGCAATTAGTTTTAGTAGTTTAAAGGTGGGGTACGTAATTCACTTCAGAAACACTTTTTGTTATATTCCATGGAATGCTCTTAACATCCCGATAGCAATGAATATCTTAAGTGCTTTGACAAAAAAAAGGGGCAGATTTTTTTCGGCTGCGTACTTTCAAATTCTAGCGCACTCAAGCTGGTTTCTCCATTCTTACCTACCCTACCTTTAAGTACATTTTTAATGCTTTTGTACTTGCAATTAAGTAATGTTTTGAATGCCCAACATTTACTTTTAACAGAATATTTCTACACAGTGGTATTATAACTTTTACCTAACTTAAAGATTTGATTACTTCTTCCACCACTGCTCTTTTAACATAACCAGTACGCCCATACACATAAAAATACCATTGTGTGAAATGGGTGTAGTTCCCTTTAGCATTAGCATATTCAGCTTTTCAGAAAACTGATTGGAAGTGATGATCCCACTCTTCTGCACAGATCCTTTTGAACGGTACACTTAAATAAAATGGTCCTTTAATCAACGTCTAACTGAAGGTTCACACTGCACAGAGGCCTGCTGTGTGTTCTCTACTATGGCTGTGTTTGTACAAGGCACAGAGGACTGGGAGGGGGCCGCCATGAATCTCAGCCTGTGCCCAGCACTGCCCCTCCCTGGCAACACACACACACACACACACACACACACACACACACACACACACACACACACACACACACACACACACACACACACACACACACACACACACACACACACACACACACACACACACACACACGCTCTCTCGCTTCCTCAAGTGTGATCTTTCTTAGGTCACCTGCTTGACATTTAAAGTATTTACATCTAGGTTAAAGGCTTGCAATTCTTTACCAACAAACATATGATGTTGATAATGAGACTCGTGGATTTACCTTATTTCACCTCCAAACTCCAAATCGAGATTAAGTTCAGAGCACATGGCAAACTACACATGCTAGTTTTTTCATGCTCTCCATGCATCCATATTGTCCATATCTTTTGTAAAATGTACAATATGGACAGAAGATAATAAATATATTAACACTAAGAAACTGCTCTGAGATAAGGCTATGGACAAAGGTTATATGAAGCTATACAGTACTTACAGTGTTCCCTGCTCCCAGTCTTTATTATCCATGTCTTTAACCAACATGTTTTTAATTACATCTTGGAATTTTGGAAATGAAACCCAGAATTTAGCTTAGCAGGATAACTTTTTTTGCCCTATAATTAGCTATTTTCAAGATATTGTATTGTCATACAGTATATACAGTATAACAGGAAGTTGCACTGTACAATGACATTCTTACGTTTCAGCACTCCACATCTAAATATTAAGAAGAGTAGAGTATACATAAATATGCATAAGAATAGATAAATGTTCTTTTGGTGAGAAATGCTTGTTTGGGTTTCCGGCTGAGTGCCTCTATTGTCCTCTTCCTCCAGTCATCTGTGGCTGTGCTGCTGAGGCTAACCGCTCGGCAGAGACACAGAGATGACTGATGGTCATGATAGCCTTGTGATGGCTGGTCATCGGACACATGAGTCTCCTTAGAGCTGGGTCAAACACAGAGACAAATCCCCCCCGACAACTGCTGTCCCCATCACGGCTTCAAAGCTTACCGAGTCACGTGATCAACAGAATGTTGCCCCTAGGGGAACGATCTGTTGGCT